CTTGTGTTGTGTTTTCGGCTCTGGGGTTATTGACTCCATGCTGGCCCTTAAAGATCCCGCTGCCCTTTCCAGCGCCTACAGACAATTGCTTCCAGAAGTCTGCACCTCTGCCACTCTCTTCCACACGGTCCTCTCTGCACAAACTGGGACGTGGCCCTCCGGCCCAGAGCAAGTTCAGTTCTGTGACTGATGGCCCAATGAAGCTGGGCATGGGGAAGGGTGAGCCTCCAGGTGCCCCCTTCCTCAGGGGAGCTCTCCTGAAGGGGCCTGGCCTTCCGCTCTGTCCCCCCACTGGGGTTCCTGGTTCTGAAGGTCGGAGAAGGTCGGAGAAGGCGGGGCAGAACGGGAGTGGGCGGGGCTGCGTGCGTGGGTGAGGGTGCGGTGGGCTCCTGCCTCAGGGCCAGGCCCAGGGTGAGGAGAGTGAGGCGCTCACCTCAGGGGCAACACTGAATGACCAAAAACTCAGTCAGCAAGACGGAAACTATTTTAATGCCGTATTTTTTTTTTAAATCAAGAGTAATGCAAACAAATCTGTGATGAACAAAATATCAAAACTTTAAACACAGACAGGATCAGTGGTGCCAAGCCATGTCAGAGCCCGGGAGGAAAGGAGTGATCAGCCTTAGAAACGACGCAGAGAGGAGGGGAATTCTGATCGTTTGTGACCCTGCTCCCTCCCTGCCAGGCTGCTGGCTGACACCATCTCTGTCTCTGTCCCACCCCTGTCGCTGCAGCTCTTGTCCAGCAGCCCCTCCTGCAGAGGAGGTCACAGCTCTGGCCAGCGTGCGTGAGCCCCTCTGGGCCAAGTGCAGCCGGCTTCTCTCCTCCTGCTGCTGCGGTTCCTCCACTGCTCCGCCAGCCCTTGCTGTCTCCCTCCAGCCTGCCCGCTGCTGTGTAAACCACCCCGTGTGGAAACGAGAAATGATGGGGAGGGAGGGTGGAAGAAGGCTGCAGAGAGCAGGAAAAACAATCCTTAAACTAATATTAAGTATCTTTAGAAAGAAAAGGTATTGCATCTATGATACGAGAGCAGGAGCCTTTTTTTAAAGAAAAAAAATTGCCCTGGCTGGCGTAGCTCAGTGGATTGAGCGCGGGCTGTGAACCAAAGTGTCGCAGGTTCAATTCCCAGTCAGGGTACATGCCTGGGTTGCAGGCCATGATCCCCAAGAACCACACATTGATGTTTCTCTCTCTCTTTCTCCCTCCCTTTCCTCTCTAAAAATAAATATATAAAATCTTTTTAAAAATCAGAAAATAATAAAGAGCTGTTGGAAATTAAAAATGTAATAGCGGGGAAAAAATCAGTAACAAAAAGAAAATAAGGTGGAGGGACCACCTCTGAGTGGTCTGAAGCTATTCTTACACAGGATAGAAATGAAGCTGACAGCCAACAGATGGTTTCTAAAAGCCAGGGGGCAGAAAGAAAGAAAAAAGACAAAGGAAATCTCCCAGAAAGGGGAACAACAATAACATGCAAACTAACCAATAAACAACCGGAAATGCAAAAGGGACGGGCAGACAACAGAAGGGAGAAGAAAGGTCGAGGATCACCCCCCCGGAAAAGGACATCAAATGAAGGGGGACTGGGGGAAGGAGAAAGCCTGGCAGGGAGACGACCACCGAGGGAATGAAAGAGGAAGACTTCCCAGAACTGGTAACTATAGGTCTCTAGGCTGCAACAGCCCATCAGACATTCAGCCACGGGCAGGGCCCTCCCTCTCGCAGGTTACAGAAGACACCCTGAAAGCTCCTGGGGGGGGGAGGCGAGGGCACAGGTACATACAAAAATGGGACATAAGAATGACGTCAAACCTCTCAACGGTGACATCGAAAGGCAGAGGACAATGGGGAGGTGCCTGCAAACTTCGGAAGGAAAATTATTTTTCATCTAGAATTCTATATTCAGCCAGACCATCAATCAAGGATGGGACAGAATAAAGGCATTTTCAGACACGCAAGCTCGCAAAAGAACTTTTTTCTTCTGTGTAACCTTTCTCAGGAGGCTAAACACAGGGGAGAAGCGGGGAAGAGAAGACTCGGGGTCAGGGAAGAGGACACGCGACACGGGGGAGAGACCAGCGGTCCCATCGATGGAGGGCACTCCCAGGACGGCCTGGGGCCGGCAGGGGAGCAGCCAGCCCGGAACAGGGAGGGACTGCAGGGGAGAGGTTTCGGGGTGGCGGGGAGGCCAGGGGAGAACTGACAAGTTCGTCTACCCCAAAAATTGTATTTGAGGCTGTTAAGCAACAAAACTCGACTAAGTAAATTTTAAAGAGCTTATTGGCTTCATTGAATGATTCATGAGTTGGGCAGCATCTCATCTAGCAGAGAGAAGGAAGTTCCCAGCGAAGAGGAGATGGTGTCAAGGTCTCCCTCTTTCAGGGGTGACAGAGGCCTATCAGGCAGGTAACATCACTGGAGCTGACCGGGTAACCCCAGGCTGACTGGGTTAAGGTTCCACCCCGGGGAGTGGAACGAAGTGAGACTGCAATGAAGTTAGTAGTAAGTGTTGGTTTCTGTGCTGTGGGTTTAGCACAAGTGACTCCATTTTGGGCCCATGGTCTCTTTTTAAACACGGCCAAAGGATGTGTAAGAATATCTAGCTATGGTAAATACAGAAACCTAAGCAAGTAGAGGCATCAGGGATCCAGGAAAAATAAAAATATTTGAGAAAGTAAACAGTGCTATCGCCCTACTTGGACTGGTGGTGAACGATACTGACGGGATTATAATAGTATAAAGCAGAGCATGTAGACTTAAGGAAAATATGGAGAGTGAAACGATGCTCGGAGAGTATATAAAAGGCAAATCTTCATCACAACCGGCCGTCAACGGACGCTGTCTAAACAGATGAATCAAGAGGCAGCAGAATAAGCCAATGACTTGGAAATGAGGAGGTGACCATCGGCAGACGTGCCTGCAGCCACGGGGGTGGGGACAGCTACTGTGTTTTGTTTTCCAATTTTAGCATCATTTGACCTTTCTGACTATCTGTAAAGCATGTCTTTGATTTGAAAAAAAGTTATGAAAATACAAAGTAAAGAAAGATGTACTGAGGAGCACATCCTGTCTTTCCTTCTTGTTTCCTGGCTCTTCAGCATCCTGAGAACCACCCTCTCTACTCTCCGCCATCGGCACACACACTCACACACTCATCCAGGCACACACTCACACAGGCACACACTCACACAGATGCACACTCACCCAGGCACACACACTCACACAGGCACACACTCTCACACACACACTCACACAGGCACACACTCATACAGGCACACACACTCACACAGGCACACACAGACACACTCACACAGGCACATACAGACACACTCACACAGGCACACTCACACAGGCACACACTCACCCAGGCACACACACTTAAACAGGCACACACTCACCCAGGCACACACACTCACACAGGCACACACAGGCACACTCATACAGGCACACACAGACACACTCACACAGGCAGACAGACACACTCACACAGGCACACACACTCACACAGGCACACACACTCACACAGGCACACACAGACACGCCCACACAGGCAGATACAGACACACTCACACAGGCACACACACTCACACAGATGCACACACTCACACAGGCACACACACTTACACAGACACACACACTCGCACAGGCACACACTCACACACACTCACCCAGGCACACACACTCACACAGGCACACACAGACACACTCACACAGGCACACACAGACACACTCACACAGGCACACTCACACTCACACAGGCACACACTCTCACACACACACTCACCCAGGCACACACTCACACAGGCACACACAGACACACACACTTAGACACACACACTCGCACAGGCACACACTCACCACCACACACACTCACCCAGGCACACACACACTCACACAGGCACACACAGGCACACTCACACAGGCACACACAGGCACACTCACACAGGCACACTCACACTCACACAGGCACACACACTCACACAGATGCACACACCCACACAGGCACACACTTACACAGACACACACACTCTCACACACACACTCACCCAGGCACACACTCACACAGGCACACACACTTAGACACACACACTCACACAGGCACACACTCAAACAGGCACACACTCACACAGACACACACTCACACAGGCACACACAGGCACACACACTCACACAGGCACACTCACACAGGCACACACACTCAGACACACACACTCGCACAGGCACACACACACAGGCACACACTCACGCAGGCACACACACTCACACAGGCACATACACACTCATAACAGACACTCAGAAACAGCTCATGGGGACAGACACACAGGAAGACATACATGATACTTCAAATCACTCAGTCAGAAGTGCACTCTCCCGCTAACACGCACACACGATTGTAGGTTCACCTGCACACACACAGAGGCCCCGCCAACAGCGTCCCAGGAGGCCAGCTGGAGAGCAGAGACACCAAGAGGCCGGCCGAGACCCCCCGGCCTCCCCGCACCACCCCAGGCAGAGGAGGGTCTCCCCTGGGCCTTTGCCCTCACTGCTCCCCCGGCTCAGAGCCCCTGCCACCAGGCCGAGCGGCCCGAGCCTCTGCAGCTGTGGACCCTTGGGAAACACACAGAGACGCAGATGACACAAAAGTGAGGTGGTGGGGGGCCAGAGCTGGCGGCTGGGTGGGACTAAGAATGCTACTCTCGTTCAGTTTTTAGTGGAGGCCCCCAGCAGTGGGACAGTGCAATGTTAGGGACCCTGTGGACACACTGTGCGTCCCTGAGCAAATCACTTCCTCCCTCCATGTCCACAAGGAGAGAGGCAGCCAATAAAACTCCCGACATGCCAAGATGTCATGATCCCGACTGGGCCCGGCTTCCACTCCCCTCGAGGTTCCCACCTTCACACCGACCTCCAGGGCTGACACCAAAGGACATGTGTGCGTGGGGCGCCTTGTGGGCCCCCCAGCGCCATCCCCCTCCCCCCCACGGCCCTCCAGCACTCACCACTACCCTGGTCCTGTTCTCCGGCAGCGTGTCAATGGCCAGGGTGCCCCCACCCAGGTCCTGGCTCAGCTGGGTCCTGTCTGGCTCCGACACTGGCCCAGGGCTCTCTCGGGCTCTCCGGTGCCAGCCAGGTCCGGTCCATGCAGAGCCTCGGCCTGCATCCTGACCTGGGAGAAGGGGACAGAAAGCTGAGTCCTGGGGTTCCAGAGTGACGGTCTGAGAGGGGAGCCAGCCCTGCCACTCGCAGAGGCCCCGCCCCGTGCCAGCACTGCCTACCAGGGCAGGAGGCATACCGCACGCCCTGAGACCTGCACCCAGCCCTACCTCGTGGGCTTTGCAGACATGACACATCGAGCCCTCGCGCCAGCCCTCCGAAGCAGGCAGGACGCTCTGCATTTCCCAGACGGGAGTCCGGGAGTCCGTGGCCCACAGAGGTTAAAGAGGGTGGCACAGCAGGTTAGGGATGGAGACAAGTTTCAAACCCAGGGAGATCAGCCTCCCAAACAGTGGTTACTCTTAGCCTCAGTCACACACTGGAATCATCCAAGGAGCTTTAAAAGTCGTGGGTGTCTGGGTCCCACCCTGGAGACTGGGACATAGCGCAGTGCACAGTGCACAGTGGAGCCTGGAGTCGGGGTTCTTATATGATCCCCAGGGGAGCTGCTAAGAAGCCCCGGATCTAAAGCTGCGCTGCAGATGAGGGTGAGAGGCACCGCTCTGGAACCTTCCAAACCAGTTCCTCATTTCTCTGCCGGAAATGATGCGTCATCTCACCTTCCAGGAGACTCCAGGGACTAGAAGCCCAAGAGTGGAATTCTTTTAGTTTGGGGCTTCTCCGCTATGGCACTGCTGACATTCTGGACTACCCAGTCCCTTGTTGGGGTGGGGCAGGGGGCAGTTCCTGGGCACGGTGACCCGTCCACCAGCGCCCCTGGCCTCTAGCCCTAGCTGCCGCTGCTTCCCAGGCTGTGATAGCCAAAGGTGTCTCCATAGTGGGAGCCACTGTTTAATCCTCCTGCTCCCTGCCAGCACCTTGGGCAACTCATTTTCCCCGTAAAATAAGGAGCATAGACACCGCAGGGGAGGGCAAATAGCTTTCATCTCAAAACGCATCTCTAGGTAGTGACAGCCAGGAGCAGTCTATCCGAAGAATCCTGAGGCTCCACTGGTGTGGAGCAGGAAAGATTATTATGGTTCATTAGCAACGTCTACGACGACATAGTGCTGGAAAGTGGCCGGCGGCGCCCGGGCCACTTAGCAGCTCCTCCCAGACTCTCGTGCTCTCTTGTTCCCACATTAAATTTTTCTACATGACACAGAAACCGTGCTGATCCATTTCAGAGAGACGTGTGTCCTCGAAGATGTGTTTTGTATTGTCATTCCCATTGCCACACCTACCAGGGTTGTGCATGTGGGACACAGACCACCGGACAGGGGGGTCCCATAGTCCCCCAGATCTTTGTCAATTTCAGGCCCACCCTGGGTCAGAGGCCCCTGTCTGTGCCCACCCTCTCCCCAGAGCTCCCGGATGCAGCCCCCTTTCCTGGAGCACGCACTGGTGTTGTAACTCATGCTTGTCTCCCCGGCACCCCCGGGACTCTCCCACCTGCTGCAAATAGGCACCCTCGGTGCCTAGCAAACAGTAGGTGCTCAACCACCGCATAACTGAGCACACGGTCCCGGAGGTAAGTTGGGAGCCAGCAAGCACAGAGGCTGAGACAAGGCCTGGCCAGGACCAGGCCTGGGGCTGGGGCCAGGCCTCTTTGCTGTGAGGCTCTGGTTTGTCATTAGACATTGTATCCAATTAAGTCATTCTTGGCAGCTGGCACCTGCTGGCCCCTTGCCGGCCCCTTCTCACTTCTCTGCCCCTAATCGCAACCAGATGCTCTGCAGAAGATACGGAGAGGGGTGGTCTCCAGACCCCGTCTCCAAGATGCCCACTGGCTGAGAGGGACCTGGGCCCGGTCCTGGCAAGACAGCCTACCCTTGGTCCATACCTCAAGCCAGCGCTGCTTTGCCCTTCTCGGGGGAGGCCCACAGCTGCCTGTAGAAATAGGACTGTGTGTGCTGGGCTGGTCCACCCCACTCCCCAGGTCCTCCTGCAAGCTGCCCTTGGGCCTGAGCAGGAGCCAGGACAGGAAAGGAGCATGTGCAGAGCAAGTGGAGGGGTTCGAGTGGCCGGGACAGGGGCGCTGGGGATGTGCAGACATCCCAGTCCTGCAACTGGGACCGGAGGGTCCCTGGAGGGTGGGCACCCGGGGCCTGGGGAGAGGGCAGGGAGGGAGTGCCCTGCCACAGGTGGGGGTGGGGGGGACACCCTTGTACCCACAAGCTATTCGATCTTGGACCCATCGGTTCATTTCTCTAAGCCTCAGCATCCTCATCCCTAAAATGGGACAACAATCATTCATGCCTATGGCACAGGCTGCTGTCAGCCTCCAATGAGAAACAGACACCAGAAGGCTTTATGAATAGAGGGCTCAGGGCCAGGGCCAGGGCCAGAGGCAGAGTCCTTGGAGAGGGGTAGGGAACGGAGAGCGAGGAGTCTGCCCTTCCCTGGCCTGGTCCCGAATCTTGCCCTCCCAAACCACACCACTCCGTCTCCCCGCCACCCTCCCTCTCCCAGCTGGCCAGGACAGGACCTCACCCCTCTGCCCGCGCAGGGAGCCAACACAGCTGGCTGCTCACGTGTGTGTGTGCAAGGGCCCACGTGCCTGTGCATACTCGCACACGCACACACACACACAGACTTGCCTGACGTCCCTGGCCTTCTCCCTGCATGCTCACACACGTGTTACACACCTATCCAAACCTCGGCTGCTCCCTGCTCTACCTCCCGCCTTGCACTGTACAGCCCCTGCCTGTGAGTGAGGGTAAGAAGCTTCCAGAACAGACTGTTCATTTATTCATCCACTCATTTGCCCACGGCCCCCATGACGTCACAATAGTAACAGCAGTAACAACGGTGACTAGTGGTGAGAGAGATAGATGCTTACTCCGTGCCAGCTCTACTTCAAGTGCTTTGAACAAATTAACTCAAATTTTAATTGCCACAATAGCCCCACGAGGCCGGTGCTAGCTTAGTTAGATCTGTTTTACAAATTTGGAAACTGAGGCACAAAGCTGTTAAGGAGTGTCGTGTGGTCACACAACTAGTCTGTGGCAGAGTGTGCACTCAGGCAGGCTGGCTCCAGGGTCTGCTGCAAGATGTGACCAGCGGCCCCCGGGTTGTCTCCCGAGGTGCGGGGCAGCCCCAGGGCAGGACTGGCATGTGGGCGGGGCTCCTGGGTGCCCGGCTCTGAGAGCCACTGGACCTGAACCTGGGAGCTGCCCTGGGAGACTGCGTCCGCTGTCTTGCAGGGGGCAGTCCAGGGGTTGTGCCCTGACCCGCTTCACATGCCACCACCCTGCTGCAGGGCAAGAAGCAACGGGTTGATTTCCAGAGGCCAGGTCATGCCGCTCTAGTGCCTGGTCCGAGCCACCCTCTGCCCACGCATCACCCGAGCTTGCCACTCCAGCCCCACGACCACCACTCGGTCCAGTAGCTACTTCAGCCTCCACCTTGGATGCCCTTCGGCGAGTCTGTCACATGCCCACCAGAGCATCTAGAGGATAAACTTGACTCCAACTCGCCCCTGAGTCCCACTCACCACAGCCCTCCAGCTGAAGACCCAGCAGCTCCCCTCAGCACTTGAGGACCCCTGTGACCAAATTCCTGCTCTCTCCTCCAGCTTCCTGCCTCCCCAGAGCCCCTCCAGGACCCCACCCTGCTCTCTCTGGCCACAGGCTTCACACCTGCAGCTTCTCGGCCAGGGTCACTCCGCTCCGTAAACAAACCCTTCTCCCCACGAGCTCTTGCTCATCCTCCAAGTCTCCCAAGACGTCACTTCTTCCCAGTGCATCCTCTGGCATCTCTGCCCTGGTCCCAAATGCTACATGTGCCACCCCAGCCCCGATCCCAACACATCGCTGCTGCCTGTGCTTCCGTGGGCTCCTGGAACCCGACACAAAGCAAATGCTCAATAGGCTCACATGGCTGACTGAAGGGGAGGAGGGAGGGAGGGAGGGAGGAAGGGAGGAGAGAGGAGGGGAGGAGGGAGGAAGGAGGGGAGGAGGGAGGAAGGAGGGGAGGAGGGAAGGAGGAAGGGGAGGAAGAACCTTTAAGTGCCCTGAGTACCTGAGATCTCTGGGCTGAGAAGACCTCCCCTGGGGCACAGCCCCGCTGGACCCCCTCACTGTAATGTCACAGCAATACAAGAACACAGGTGTGGCATCAGACAAGCTCGAGAATGAAGCCTGAATCTACTACTCACTAACTGCGATGCTGGACAAATTGCAGAATCTCTTTGAGCTTCAGTTTCCTCCTCTGTAAAGTGGGCATGATAAAGCCTACACTTGGTAGGTCATTTTGAGTCTTGAACAAAATAATGTGCCCAACGCACCGAGCAGGGCCCAGCCGTCCCTGGGTTTCACCAGAGGACCCACTTTCCGAGGGGCTTGGGAAAGGCTCCAAACGCTGAGCTGAAATCCCGCCTCCCAGCTACAGAGCCCGAGCAGCATGCACCCTCTCCCCTCCTGCTGGCGGCAGGTCCCACTGATGACCCCATCTCCGGAGAGGGAAGGAGGCCCAAGGAATTGGCAGGAAGGGACCGACTAGCAGCTCCAAAGAAAAGAGGAGAGGAGAGAAGAGTTTGGCTCCCTGTGAGCTCCTCTCGATGGAAGAGTCTGGTGTCTGGGACCGCCTCTGATTCACTCGCTCAGTCGATACACATTTACTGAGACTCTGCTGGCTGCTGGGGTGGTAGCAGAGATCAGGCAGACACAGCCCCTGTACCTGCGCAGATTCCAGGAGGATGAGACAGATACAGAATCAATAATACGGCAAAGAAGACGATGGGAGAAGGTGGCACCTGCTGTGAAAATCAGACGGATGAGAGGGTCAGCGGTGGCTGGTGCTCTGGACAGAGCAGCCTTCAAGGAGGGGCTCTCTGAGGAGGGGCCTTGGGCTGACCGAGACCTGGACGAGAAGCAGTTACCTGAAGGCCGGAAGGGAGGCGGCCTGATGTGCTGAGGGACAGAATGGGGACAGCAAGGCGGCTGTGAGGGTGGGGACAGGCTGTCTGACGGCCGCGTTAAGAAGTTCAGATTTCAGCCCTGGTTTGTCTGGAAGCCCCTGGTGGCGAGGAGGAGGCTGGCTGACGGGCCCTAGACGATCTAGTCCACATTCCACTCCACGGAAGGGGAACCACGGCTCAGGGAAGGGAGGGAGTCGCCAGGGCCACCAGGGGCTGGTGCTGGGCCCCGCCTCCTGGCTCCCGGGCTGCACTGCCACCGTCAGCGGCCTCTTCCTCCTCGGTCTGCTTCAGACACCTCTGGTCCTACCTGGACCAGGCCCTCGGGGTCCCCTGCTCCCACCAGGCACCCCGAGGCCATCTTCCTGCCATCCGTCTGTCTGCTGGCCTCTCCTGGCCTCCCCCTCCATGGGACTCTATCTTTCAGCCACTCTTCTTTCTCCTGCCCCCACTCCAGGGCCGAGCCCGCCCGTCCGTCTGCAGGGAGAGCAGACCAGCAGACGCAGATTCGAGCAGAGCGAAGCCTGGCTCTGTGTCCCCGATTCAAGTCTCGTGCTGAGACCTTTGACCAACTTCCTCGTCCCCGGCAACAGTTTCCAACTTCCCAGTGCACAACCACCCGTGCTCCTTCACACGCAGCCATGAAGGGTTTGTTCGTGACAGCCAGGTCCCAGGACGACGGAGCTAAATATCAAGCCGGTGATAACATTGATTATAAACCATCGTCTATCACCAGACCACCGGGAGGAATGGTCCCCGGCGCTACTGCGCCCTTTGTCCCTTTGTCCTGTCAGTCATTGATACCCGCGTTACACCACTTAAAAAGCACCACAAGAGGGGTCTGCCAGAGCATGATTTGGGCAAAGCTGCTGGGCCGTTTTCTCCCAGGCCTGATCTTCCCATAAGTAAATCACCATATAATACATTCTCTTAATATCTATGCCATTGCCGGCTTCGTCTTTCAGTCTGAAGATGCCTCCTTGTTAAGATGGCCAGAACACCTTGGACCGGAGATCACAGCCCCCTCTGGAGCCACCCCCACCCCGGCCAGAGGGCTCGGGCCTTTGCACCGACCAGCAGCACCCCTTCCGGCCCAGCTCCCAGCTGCCTTTCACTGGTCGCTAGTCACAGGGGCTCCACCCCCCCACCAGAGTTAGGCCGTCCCTCCTGGGCGGCCCTCCCACAGGCGGTCCCACCCCCACACCTGTCCTACCCCAAAGACGCCCCCTAACAGCCACCCTTCAGCCTTCCTAAAGCTTCCTGAGGTCTGACCGATCTCTCCTGCTGCAGACAAAGTCCATTTCTTCTGGCTGGATCTCTGTCGAAGCTGAGAAGACAGAGCGTCCTCTAGAGATGTGGTTCATGCCTCTGCCTGCCCTGCTCTTGCTGGCCATGCCAGCTGTCTACTCTCTCCCTCCTCCCTGAGGAGGTGGCCTTTGGCCGGGCCTGGGTCTGGCCACCATCCCCCTTGTTGCCTCCCAGGTGCCCTTCCTCAGCCCTCTCCATGGCTCTTCCAGTTCCACAGAGGTCCTGAGCTCTCCCTCATCAACCCAGTCACACGCATCCTGAGTTTGGAAGGTTCCACCAGGTTCGCTGGGGCTGCAAAGGACCTCAACAATTGACTTGTCCAACCTCTTCTTTCTTAAATTATTTGTTTTTTTTTTAATTATCACCCATACATCTCATAACAAATCAGAAAAAGAAAGACAATCATTAAAAAAGAGAGAGAGATCTCCCATAATTCCACCACCAAGAGCCAAAGACTTTGCCCACAGTCTCACTGTACAGTGAGGCAATAGGACCCAGAGAAGGAAAATCACTTGCTTGGGGTCACACAGCACGTGCGATGCTGGGACCAGAAGCCGCGTCTCTGGCCGTTCCCTGTGTGGTCTCCCTGAAAACCGGCAGGGCGGCTCCGCACTGGCAGCCTCTTGCCACATCAGCTTCCTCTTCTCTCTGCCCACATCCCCACCACCAGCACCCTCCCCTCCCCTCCTCCTCCACAGGGACCCAGGCCCGTGTCAGCTACATGCAGGGACCAGTAAAGCCAAGAAGAATGCTGTGGCTGACACTGCACCTGATGCCAGCATACCCCTGCGCACCAGCAGCCCAACTGCGTGCACACACACGCACACACACACGCACACACATGCACACACCGCTCTGTTCCATCTGAGGGACACCGGTGCCCATGAGGCAGAGACTCTATCTCCCCAATTCTGTCAAGAGACTTGACTGCAAACCACCCACCTCCCCAACCCTGGAGAAGGACTGGTCACATGAGGATAATGTAAAATGACCGGTTGAAAAATGTTTCTTTAATAACGTGAGAGATTCAAGGTAGATCTCAGAAAGGACTTCCAGGTGGGAGACATGGTTGTGGAAAACTGGTGTAAGGGGAGGAGGAGTGTGCAGGCAGGTGCCCCCACCCCCAACCCCAATCTACAGCCAGAGCAACGAAAGGCTAAAAGGCCACAGGGCAGAGCGGAGCAGGAGTGCGAGGAGGACCCTGGAGGATGCGGGATGGAGGATGGGGAGCAGCAGGTTGCTTCTTCCTGGGCCCAGAGCGGCTCTCCGGGTGCCAGACAGGGAGGGGACGGCTTCAGTCCAGGCCACCAATGCCCCTTCTCGGGGAGGTACGCTGGTCTCCACCACCCCCCTGTCTGCTCCCTCCCAGCCCCCAGATCGACTCAGACCCCACCTGGGTCAGCTTGGGGATGGGGCAGGGAAGAGAAAGAGGAGGCAAAGCTTGGCGGACTCCCCATCTCAGAATTCAGCCTTGCCCCGTGTGGCCAGGGGTCCCTATAGCCCGCCCACTGTTTCCTGTGGGACCGCAGCCCACTGCCTGACGGAGCCCCCTCCACAGGGGTACCTTCAGTGTCCTTCCAGGAGGACAATTTCTGATGCCTGCACCCTCTCTAACACACCCTGTGTTCAGGAAAGTGGGGTCCCCGTCCACCTGCCACAGACAGGGCTCCTGGCCTCCCGCGGACAGTACCCCCACCCCACCCCCACCCACCGCGACATCACCAGCCTGTCCGTACTGGCCCCTGCCCACGCCTGCCTACTGCCCCCTCCCCGCCCCCGGCCCGCCCGGCAAACTCCGGCCAGTCCTACCTGCTCCGGGCTGGGGGCTCAGCGCCCGGGCAGCCTCCCGGAGCACCAGCACCAGGAGCCAGAGCTCTCCGCGCATGGTGGGTGCAGGACCCGCCCCCGGCCCGCTGCAGCCGAGGAGGGGGCCCGGGCTCGGCGGCGCGGCCCCGGAGGCTGGCGGGCGCAGGGGTGGGCGGCGAGGCGGCGGCGGAGCGCGGGGCCCGACGAGGCGGCGGGAGCGGCGAGCGCGCGAGCTCGAGGGGAGCGAGCAGAGCGGCGGCCGGGAGCGGGGAGCGGGGAGCGGGGAGCGGGAGGGGGCGGGGCGGGACGGGGGCGCGGCGCCTCGGAGCTCACCCCGGTCTTCCCCCGGCCCTCCACGCCCTCCCCCCGCACTCTCCCGGGGCGCCCGCAGCGGCTCCCGCAGCCGCTCCCGCCCCTGGGGGGGAGGGGTCCGGGGAGGGGCGGGGGAGGCAGACGGACGGACGGGGCGGGAGACTTCGGGCAAAGAGAATCCCGAGGAGCATCAGCGGCCCCCCACCCCCACCCTAACGCGGCACCTTAGTTCCTGCCTCCCTCCCCCTCCTCCCCCGCCCGGGGGAAAGCAGCAAAGAGAAGATGCGAGGGACCCAACTGCGGGCAGGGACAGGCGCCCCTTCCTCGGGTCCTGGCTCCTGTCATCCCACCACACCCCCCGGCTCCACCAGGTTTCCCGACTTTCTGGGCTCTTCCTCGGAGTTCTGTGGACGCCCGCTCCACCCCGGAATTTCCCCTTGCAGCAAAGACCCCCCCCCCCCAGCTCCTCTCCCCAGCAGATGCCTGAATTCCGCCCCTTCCGGGGCTGTCTCCACTTTACCACACAACCCCCCCCCCTCGTTTCCAGCACCCTATTGCCCCCCCCCCACCCGGCAGACTTGGCAGTGGACAGGGCCTGGCTCAGCCTGCTTTGAAATAGACTGGACCTCTCCCCACCCCCCGAAGGTAACCCGCCCTTCTCCGGGGACCCCAGGCCTGCTCGGGGCCTGACCCACTCAGTCCTCACGGCCAGCGCCCGAGCAAGGAGATGGTTCACCCCCCTTCCACCACCGCACAAGAGGCTCTTGGGGATACATTTTTTTTCCCTTTCAGGACAGAATAAAAATACCAGCAATTTAGGAGATTTAATAGACGGCAGGGAATCAGGTCAGGACTCAGAGGTGCCTCTTCCCGCCCCTGACCTACTTCGTGCGATAGCAAAGACCTGGAGCGCCGGGAGGTGGGAGATGAGGCGAGGGGGTTCCGTGGCTTCTGAGGGCCTGGGGCCTAGGAAATGACAATCGCGGAGAGGGGTATGGACGCTGAGCGCCGTGGGGGGAAATCTCCCAGGAGGAGGGGGGACAGGCGTGGAGACGGAAGAGGGGACAGGGTGAGCCTGAATGAAAAAAAGAACTAAAGACTCTAATTTCTCAGAATCAATCCCAGGTCCCCCCTTCCTCAAGACCCAGGGTCCCAGAAACGAGCTTCTTCCGCTCTAAACCCTCTATTCCCTTACCATGGGACAAGGCAAGACATGTCTGTAAATCCTTTTCTAATTTAAACCGGGATTCTGCGGACTCAAACAGGTTCCAATGAGTCCGGCAGAAGTAAGGCCTACTTGAGTGTGGTTGGCAGGGTAATAATAATATGGGTGTAATAATTTATAGTTTTAATTTGAACATTTCACCTAAAATGGCATATGGTGTGCTTGAATGTGATATTGTTATGTTACAGAATTACATACTTATTATTTTATAATAAAAGATGTTGTAATTAAACGGGGGCGTTGGGTCGGACCCTGTGGACTGCCTCTTCCAGCTGCGGCTTCTTGCTGCCCTCTAGTGGCCATGTGGCAACCCTCAACGCGCGTGTTGTACGGTTTCCCTCACTTTCCCGGACCTGCCCAGACGCTGTCCACCTGGCTCTGGCTCTAGCTCGGCAAGTCCACCTCTCCTCGCCCCTGCCTTCTGGGAGGTCAAGGTGAGAGGTCCCAGGACGATATTGCAGCTCCAGCCCAGGCCTCTTTGTACATTCGCTAGTTCGGGGTGCCTCGAAGCCTATTTTATAAGGCCTTCTACAAGGGTTCAGGTTGAATCAGCAACTTGGAAATAATTAGAAGCCCATGACATTTAAATTTTTTAATGTAAGCCTCTAGAACTTGATCGTCAGTCAAAACCACCTGGAGGGCTTCAGTCAGAACCACCTGGAGGGCTTACTAAAAAACAGATTTCTCGGCACCACTCCCAAGTTTCTAATTCGGTAGTTCTGCGACGGGGCCGAGAGCCTGCACTACTAACACACCCCCAGGTGGTGGTGCTGGTGCCCTGGGCCGTATTTGAAAGCCACCGCTAGAGAATTCTCATTTTTTGCATTCTCTCACCGCTTCTCTTCTGCCAAAATAAGAGGTAACAAGGTAGACGTCAATGTAGAATTGTGGGAAAACATGCATTACGGAAAATGGTTGTTTATTTGACAGTGGGTGCTCAAAACAAGGGAGAAGGGGGCACCCGGATTTGAACCGGGGACCTCTTGATCTGCAGTCAAATGCTCTACCACTGAGCTATACCCCCGTGCGGGGTTCTTGTGCGCCGAAAGCCTCTTAGCATTGATTATGCTCAGGTGCCATGGGGCGCTCAGGAAGAGCAGAGTCCAAGGTGTAAGAGGTTATCGATTTCGAGTGATTATGTATCTGAATGCAGGGTTTGTTTTGAAACATTGAGCTAAAGGCTCCTACTGACGGTGTAAAAAAAATGCAATTTGGAGGTGTGGGAGTGTAAGTCCCTCGAGATCTTTGAGATCCTCCATTTCCGGGCGTTCCTTTGGGCCGGGGTCCCCTTCTTCTGTCCTGCTAGAGCCCTCTCACTGCCGTTCAGCGCCCCTCTCTTCTTCCTACACTGTCATGAGGGCTTCTCCGGCCTTCCTTCCCCAGCCGCAGTGCCCTTAGAAACTCAGCCTCCTTCCCTGAGAACTACCATCGGGTCACCGGCCAGGCAGACCGGGAGTGCACCCGCCTCCTCCCTTCCTAGGGTAGCGGGCCCTGTGTACAGTCCACCTGGGTCAACCCGAAAGTCCTCGCCCTCCGTCGCAATGCATTCCACTTTTAGACACACACAACACATACAAGCTGAGCACGTGGATTGACAAGACCCGGGCCTCTGTCCTCACGGATTACAAAAGAGGTTGGCAGGGTCCCGAGGGGAACCTAAGAGGTGGTGACCCTCGGGGGCCAAAAAGTGCTTGAAAAAAGTGCAGCGGGGCACCCGGATTCGAACCGGGGACCTCTTGACGTGCAGTCAAGTGCTCTATCCACTGAGCTATACCTCCGAGGAGTCCAGACTTTTGCTGGGGAACCTCTTAATGGGCAGTCCAACCCCTTAATAGGGGGTCGATGTGCTCTACTATTGAGCATTGAGCTGTGCCCTTGAGGCACCCGGAATTGAACCGGGGACCACTTGATCTGCAGTCAAACGCTCTACCACTGAGCTATACCCCCACCGGGGGTCTTTTGCCCCGAAACCCCTCTTATGCTGTGGAGAGCTCAAGAAGAGTCCAAGGTTTAAAAGGATATCAACTTCGAGTGATTATATATCTGAATGCAGAGTTTGTTTTGAAGCATTGAGCTAAAGGCTTCTACTGACGGTGTAAAAAATGCAATTTGGAGGTGTGGGAAGGTAAGTCCCTCGAGATCTTTGAGATCCCTCATTTCAAGGTCCCGAGGCCGCATCTCCCGTCACCTGCAAGGAAACCTAAGAAGAGATGGACTGCGGGACCGAAAAGGAGCTTAAAAAGCCTGGGTGTGCAGAGGGGGCACCCGGATTTGAACCGGGGACCTCTTGATCTGCAGTCAAATGCTCTACCACTGAGCTATACCCCCAACCTCCTACTGGCTTCTCATTTGGATAACTTTCTGTGGAATAAGGAAATGGTATCAATTTATATTTTAATTTTAGGGTTGTACTAAAATAATCTCATGGGAAAGAAAAACAGAATCTGGGCCCTGGCTGGCGTAGCTCAGTGGATTGAGCGCGGGCTGCGAACCGAAGTGACGCAGGTTCGATTCCCAGCCAGGGTACATTCCTGGGTTGCAGGCCATAACCCCCAGCAACCACACATTGATGTCTCTCTCTCTCTCTCTCTCTCTCTCTCTCTCTCTCTCTCTCTCTCTCTCTCTCTCTCTCTCTCTCTCTCTCTCTCTCTCTCTCTCCCCAACTCCCTCCCTTCTCTCTCTAAAAATAAATTAATTAATTAAAAACTTTAAAAAAAGAAAGAAAAACAGAATCTGAGTACCGACAGCTAAAACTCCTGAATCCTTCCTTCACAATCACGCTCCAGGAAAACCATAAGTTAAAGAATTCTGGGCCCTTCTTATCTGTATCTAGACTTTTGCCAAGATATCCACTCCCGAGCTTGGGAAAGAGATAGACGCCCTGGCCCCAAGACTACCCGGGGTCTGCTGGAGTAATGGCACCGCTGCCCGTGTACAGGGCAACCTGGGTTTCCATCCCGTCTCCAGCCGGACCTAGACAGGACTCCTGGGCTTTTTCAACCCCTCAGGTCCCCTACTCCAGCAGGCGGAAATAAGAGGCGAGTACCTTTCAATGGCATTTATTGCACATTTATAAAAACCTTAATACCATGTGAAAAAAATATTACGAAAAGACAGACAAGGTGGACACTTGGCAGGAGCGGGATTTACATCGGAAGGACACTGGGAGTGAAGGGCGTGGATGGAGTGGCTTAAAGTTCAAAAGCTGAGGTCAGAGGCGGCATCTCAGGGAATGGGGAGGCCAGGGAGGAGTGGGACTCCCTTCAGCGCCAAGGGCTGTTCCTGTCTGGGATGTCCTGTCCCACTCCCTGTCCCCTCCCAGGTTTGGGGTCTGCCCTCCTTCCCCCGAGCCCACCCCTTCACCTTTCTAGAATATCCTTTGCCCAAAGATGGCTGAGGGGCCAGAAAGTTAGGGTGGTGGTCAGAGGGTTGAGGATGGGGTTCTAGGAAACAGAGTCTCTCATTCTGCCCGCCCCATCCCCACCCAGTTTTTCCTAGAGAGAGCCTGAGAGCTGAGGGGAGGAGGCTCCAATTCCCAATCCTCCTAACAGCTTCCTGGTGTCTCCAAGAAGGACGCCGCTTCTGTGGAGTGAGGGACAGCTTTTGCTACAGTCCAGGCCGCCGCAGTCAGGCCAGGGTGTACAGTCCAGCTCCTCTGTGGGGAGGTGGGTGGGCAGCAGCAATCTCACTGTCCACAGCTGGCCCTGCTCCCACCAGAGCACTGTAGAAAAGTAATAAATAGTCACTCGGCTCTTCTACCCATGGAGTCCACACAAAACCCCCAAGTTTCTGGTTGGCCTCAGGCTAGGACATCAGTTGGCAGTGGCCTGGGACTGTATCCACTGGAGCCCAGCAAGCAGCCTGCAGGAAGGGAAGAACCCGGCAAGGGTTAGCATATCTCAGGAGGACAGTGACCTTCCAGTCCCCAGCCCCTGCCCAAAGCCGACTGAGGGGGCAACTGAAGTCACAGCCAATCCTTCAGTCAACAAATGTGAACAGACGGAGTACTATGATTGCGCCTAGGCACTGCCCTCTGGGGCTTACGTCCAGCAGAAGAGAGGGGCATTCAACAAATGACTAAATGAATAATTCCATAACTACATGCCTTCATAAAGGTTAGGAAGGAAATTTACAGAGGCCTCTGGTTATCTGGGGGTCAGCGGGCGCTTCTCTAAGGAAGCAGCCTGGAGACCTACCTTAGCAATGTCTCAAGACAAATCTCTAATGCCCCTTCCCACCCACTGCATGGCAGGAGGCAGTGCCAGGGAGATTTCAAAGGCCTGGGAAGAGACCTCATAAGCAAGTTCTCCCGTTAGACTGTTAGCAACGCCAGGGCAAGGGGCAGGGGGCAGGGGCACCTTGGTCATGTCTTTATTACCTGGTACAGCGCATGGCACATGGGGGCACTTAGGAAATGCTGCTTGAATTGCACTGACTGTGGGTTGGGGGAGAAGGGGGTCCTTTTGACTCGGGGGGGGGGCAGGCAGCAAGACGCCAGAAATGTGTGCTTTCTAGGGCTGACCTGCCTAAAGCCTCCCCTTCTTCAACCAGCCTTCTAGGTCCCCAGCCTGCTGTGATTCCCCTTGAGAAGAAAGAGGAAAGGGAACTCTCCAGACCCGATACAAGGCCCTTTCTATATGACCGTGACCTAGCTCCTTCATGGAGTTTACTCTGTAGCTACCTTCTCAGCAGGCCCTCCCTGGATGGCTTACCTGCAATTGCAATATTCTGCCTGCTCTTCCAGTCTCCTCTCCTACCTGAATCTTCCCTTGAGCACTTAGCACTTTTTAACTTACTACGTGTGTGTGTGTGTACATATAGTGTGTATATATAATAATTGTTTACTGTCCTTCCCCCACACACATACACTGCAAAGTAAGCTCCATGAGGGCAGGTATTTTCGTCCGTGTGGTTCACTGCTGCTGTCCAGTGCCTAGGACAGTGCCCAGCGCAAGTGGGTGCTCGATACAGTTTCCCTACAGACATGCTACGAGGTAGTAGGTATGATCACCTCCTCTTTACAGATCAGGCAACTCAAGGTCAGAAGCAGTCAGTGATTTCTGCCTGGAGGATTTGTCCCTGGTCTTCCCACGGCTATCTCCTCTTCCTTCAGGTCTCAGCTCAAAGGGCATCTAGTGGAGGGTGTCCTTGACCCCAGGGCTAACCCAGACTATTACTGCGATCCAATTTCACTTTCTCTGTAGCACTCGATCGGCACGTGAAACATTTGTGTTTCGGCGGGTTGTCACCTCTCCCCCCACTGGAACAAGCCCTTGGGAGCAGGGACCCTCCCGCTCACTGCGCCTCAACCCAGGGAGGTGCTCGGCTGCCGTGCCCAACTGTGAACCGGATTCTGACAGGACAGGCAGGAGAATGTCCTGGCCCTGGAGGTTCAGGCGGGGCAGCCACTAACCCTTCCCCAGTGAGGGCACAGCAGCCCTGTATGTGCCACGGGTGGTCTTTGATGGCATTAAGGGTGAGGAATTGGGAGATCTCCACAGTGGTCATGGACTCCTTCATATCCTGCTTGTTGGCAAAGATCAGGATGGAAGCATCTTGCAGAGCCTGTGGACAGAGCAGCTCAGCTCCAGTCAGTCTGCCAGGGCCCGGCATCTCCTCCCAGCGCCCCGTGAGCATGCCCCGGTTCCCTTGCTATCCCGGCCAAAGAGGCCTGTGCCCAAGTGGGGTGGGCATGGGGGCCCAGTCCCAACATAGCAACCCCAGCAAATGACAATGACAGCTCATAGAATGCCTCCAAACCAGCTAATCCTGACATAGGAATTTGATGACTCTCCCCAGCTTATAGGTGGGGAGACTGTAGGATTAGAGAGGCAGGGTGACTTGCCCGGGGCCCCACAGTGAGTGGGAAGTGGTGTTAGGACCCTGAGCCAGCCACTTTGGCTTTTGTGGTCCACTATGCTGAGGGCATTATAGTCCCGCATCAAATAAACCAGCCCTGCCCAAGCTGCTGAGCTAGAGGCTCTCAGAGACTGGGCCATCCGGAATGAAGCTCAGAGAGGCTAAGTGAGTAAGCTGAGGTCACACAGCTCGTACACTGGGCCCTCCCCCAGCTGCAGGGAGCTTACCTCATGGGCCAGCATCTTGTACAGCTCCTCCCGAGTGGTCAGCAGCCGATCCCGGTCTGTGCTGTCAATCACAAGGATGATGAACTGGCCAGCAGAGGGGAACCAGGAGTGGTGAGCATTCTCTTCGCCGAAAGTGCCTCCTCCCACTAGCCTCCTACTGCCACAACCCAAGTCCCACAGGCGACACACTATCCAGGCTCCAGATCTCACTGCCCTAGTCCCACTTTTTGTTGTTTGTTTGTTTCTGTCCTAGTCCCATTGTAACTCCCCTTCCCAACCAGACACAGGGAGCACACAGCACAACCTCAGTTCATGCCAGAAGCCATGCTAAGCCCTGGCCATTCATGACTCCAGTTAGCCCTGTGGACCTGAAACTGCAGTTGACCCCTGGACAACAGGAGGAATGGGGGCACCATCTCCCACGCAGCTGAAAATCCACGTATAACTTTCAACTCCCCCAGAACTTCAGCCTTCCCCCGGTATCCAGGGAGGGGGAGGCTGGTTCCAGGGCCCCCATGGACACCAAAATCCTCGGATGCTCAAGCCCCTTGTATAAAATGGCACAGAACAATGCATACAGTTGGCCTTCCACATTTGCAGACTACCAACCACAGATCGAAAAGACTACTTTTGATCCGTGGTTGGCTGAATCTGTGGGTATGAACCCCAGAAATCCAGAGGGCTGACTGTACATAGATTGAAAAAATCCACATATAAGTGGACCCCAGCAGTGCAAACCCATGTTGTTCAAAGGTCAACCGTATTATTATCCCCACTTACAAATGAGGAGACTGAGGTTCCCCAAGGTGATGTGCCTTGCCCTCAACCACATGACTGGTGAGTGGCAGTGCCGGAATCTGAACTTGGCTGTCTCATTCCGGGAATGGAACCACTGAATTCTGCTGCTGCCAGAGTGAGCAAGTAAGGCGCCCAGAGACAAAGGGTCCACCCATCCAGTACCTCAAACAGAAAGCTGCCAGCAAGCAGACAAAGCCGCTAGCACATATGCAAACATTTTAACAGGCACTGTGCTGTATAAGCATTTGACACATGCACAAACTATTGTTTTATTCTTTAATTTTCACAACAGCTCAGGGAGGTCGTTATTATGATCTCCACTTCACCAGTGAGGGAACCAAGGCTCAGAGAGGTTAAGCGGCTGGCTGATGTCACACAGCCCCGCCAGCCCCAGGGCCCGCCTCACCTCAGTGTTGGAGTAGTAGGTGTTCCAGGTGGAGCGCAGGGCCTCCTGTCCCCCTATGTCCCACATGAGGAAGTGGGTCTTCCGCAGGACAATCTCCTCCACGTTGCTGCCGATGGTGGGACACGTATGCACCACCTCATTCATCAGGCTGGGGAGATGGGGGCGGGGCACCAAGAGCTCAGCCCGGCCCACTCCCAGCTCTGGCCTCCTCCCCCTCTGCTCCCAGGCCAGGCTCACTCTGACTCAGAACACATCAGCCCAGGGGGCACGGGCCTCTGCTGAGCAGGGGGGGGGATGCAGGCAGGAGTGAGACCAAGCCCTGCCCCGGCTTGGACCCCAGAGAGGGGAGACTGAACAGAGCAGTCTCCCCAAACGTCAGTATGCAGTTGAATCACCTGGGAGTCTCGTTAGAAACCAAATTCTGATCCAGTGGGACTGGGCTGGTGCCCAGCGTTCTGCGCTTCTAACACAAGCTTCCGGGGGATGCCAACGTTGCTGGCCCGTGGACCACACTTTCAACAGGGAGGGATTGGAAAAATGAGACAGACACAAGTGCAGGCCATCAGAAAGCTGCTCCGTTCATAGCGACGTAGAAAACACACACCCGTTTACATGGAAGGGATTCCTCTGGAAGGTTGGGAAGTAAAACTGGGAGTTCGAGGTGAGAGAGAACCTTCCTTTTCACTGTATACTGTTGTATTGTTCGGATAGGTTTCTTCTAATTTTTAAAAAAGATCTTATTTATTTATTTTTAGACAGGGGAAGGGAGGGAGAAAGAGAGGGAGAGAAACATCAGTGCGTCGTTGCCTCTCCTGCGCCCCCTGCTGGGGACCTGGCCGGCAACCCAGGCATGGGACCTGACTGGGAATCAAACCGCCGACCCCTTCGTTCGCAGGCCGGCACTCAGTCCACTGAGTCACACCAGCCAGGATCTTTTCTTCTAATTAAAAAAAAACAAAAACATATATCACTTTTTCCAGAGAAAATTTGTCCTAAGTAAATCCTCTGGAGGCTCCAGAACGGGAGAGGTGCCATCCAGGGAGTCAATTTAGGAAAAAACTCCGATGGGTAATTACCCGGCACAGGTGCCGGACTCTGCCAGAGCTACCGGAGCTACGGAGCCCGGCGGCCCCAAACCTGGCGGGCCCTCCCCTTTGGGCCTGCAGAAGGAGGAGAGAGATGCAAAGGTCGAGTGCAGGAGTTAAAAAGGAGGGACCTGCCGCTAGGGGGAGCGAAGAGCAGGGAGGCGGCGGGAAGAACCTGCCTGCCCACCCGCGTCAAGCCGGCAGCGGGTTTTGGCGGGGGCCAGGGGTAGGTGGCGGGGGGCAGTGGGGGTGCCCCTGCGGATCAGCATTCGAATGCCAGGCCGGCCGAGGGGCCACTGATCGGAGGGGCATACCAGAAAGGTCCCACTAGCGTTCCGCACAGCACTGCTCCCGGGAACCCAGCAAAGGGCTCCGGTGATTGGTCCAAATGTTTGTCAGTCTGCTGGGAAAGCGCAACCCCCCCTCTCCCTCAACCCGAGTCACTTACAACTGGTAGAGAATGGTGGACTTTCCTGCATTGTCCAGTCCCACGATGATAACCTTGTGCTCTGGAGGTATCCGGGGGAACGGCAAGGTCAGGGCCAAACGCGGTGACCAAGGGACTGCGTGACCCACTAGGCCTCCCATATTGGAAACCAGCGTTCCCAGCATCCTGGTACCATTTCTGCCCCCCCCCCGCCCCCTTCTCCCACGGGGTGGGGGGGGGAAGAAAAAAAGAAAGAAGGAAAAGAGAAACAACGGGACAGGGTTCTTTCCCACCGGGTTCCGGACACCCGCGCCACTCCCAGACAGTGGCAACGAGAGCGGGGCCCCGTCTCCCTGGCTCCACACTTCCAGAAGGGTGATTGTCCGAGCGGTCCGGGGAGCTCTGGGCTTGCCCAGAGGAAGGGTCCGGGGAAAGAGCCGAGAGCGAAGTCACACTCAGAGGAAATCGGCGGCGGCGTCTACCCGGAGCACGGACGCTCGCCCGCCCAGCCCTGCGCCCTGGTGGGCACCGACGCCCGCGACCCGCGAGGAGCGGGCAGGGAAGGGACAAGGGAGACTGGGCAGCAGGCAAGGCGCGCCCCCGCGGGACCCTCCTAGTCTTAGGTTCCCCGACGCATCCACCCGACAACCCCAATCCAGGGAGCCTCAGGCTGAAGCCGTCTCAAAGCGGTCGCTCGGATGCCCTGTACACCCCTTACCCTGTTTCCCGAAGATGCTCATCATCTTGGTGACCAGTTGTCCCATGGCGCGTCCCGAGCCAGGCAGAAGCAGGACTCGGCGCCCTTGGCGGCCTTGGGGGCCCGGGGTCGAGCCCGGGAGCTTGGAGCCCCGCCCCCGCGGGAGGGTCGGGCGGGGTCTGTGAGGTCACGGAAGCCTCACGAGTCTCCTCGGGGCCTGGGAATTCCCTGGGACGCTGGCCCCTCACGCGTGCTGTGGACCTCACGGTGACAACAAACTACGTGTCCAGAGCCAGAGCCCCGGCGGTGCAGGGGAAATGAGGTCCAGATCCCACGTCTTCCCCCTCATCCTGAGAAAAGCCCAGAGTTCTCTGGGTGGGCTGCTCCCCACGCTGCAAATCCAGGAGGCTCGGGGCAGTGCCCTACGACTGGTCCCAGCTCTCCCCGCTCCTAGTGCTACCGCTAGAGCAGGAGACCAACGCAGAACCCTTGGCCATCCTCCTTCTGCACCTACTAGCTGCGTGGGGTAGACAGGGCTCACTGATCCTCTCTCTCTGAGCTAGGAGAATATTTTTTTTAAGATTTTATTTATTTATTTTTAGAGAGGGAAGGGAGGGAGATAGACAGAGAGAGAGAGAGAGAGAGAGAGAGAGGGAAACATCAATGTGCGGTTGCTGGGGGTTATGGCCTGCAACCCAGGCATGTACCCTGGCTGGGAATTGAACCTGGGACACTTTGGTTCCCAGCCCGCACTCAATCCACTGAGCTACGCCAGCCAGGGCTGGAGAATATTTTTGATCCTCAACAGATCTCTCATTGTTCACCTGTGCTGGTTTTGCGGGTCCACTCAAAATGAGTTCCCTTGGGGGAAGGGCAGGGTGTCCCCCCTTTTGCAGGTCCCTTGGTGATAGACAAGGTCTAGGATGATTTCCTGACAAGCCAACTGCTCCGGCACAGCTAGATCCCTGACCCCAGAGGGCAAAGACAGTGAAGACGGTGATGTAGCAAAACACGGATCTCTCAGCTAGAGACCCCACAGAGGGATTCCAGGTACTAGGACCCAGCAGAGGAGAACTTGGACCAAGGGAGCCAAGCTGGAGCTGCTGGTCGTTTGTGAATTTCCTCCTTTGCTTAAACTGGGAAAAACCAGAAAACAAAAAGAGAAGCGGGGGAGGCAGACCAACCTCAGGCTACAGGGGTGGTTGGGAGACACCAGCCCTCACACGAGAGTTGGCTCCTTCCACCCCACTGCCTCTGCTGGTCTCCCTGCTTCTGTCTCCCCTCCCCAAGGCATCTTCCTCGCAGCCCTATTAACCTTTAGAGTCGTGAGTCACTCCACGGCTAGTAAACCCTCAGTGGCTGCCTATTGACCACTGGATCCAGATCAGTCTCCTCACCTGAAGCTCAAGAGCCCCCGCGAACAGCCCCCATCTGCCTTGCAGCTTATCTGCTGTTTCCATCCACTGGTCCTTGCTCACACAAACACAGCTCTTTCCACCTGTGCTTTCGCTTCTGCATTTCCTCCACCTGAGTGCCTTACCCTCAGAACAGAAGACTCCTCAGACCCATTAGCTGCCTGCCATAGAAGCCACCTAGTTCCCAAGCCCTGGCCTGGTTCTCCAGCCAAATGGGGCTTCTCTCCACACTGAGACTGCAGACTGGCATGCCTATTTCTTCCGATCACCGGGGAGTCCTAGAGGGCGAGGACATGTCTTGCCCAGCTGCATACTCCGCCCCCCTCCCCACTCCCCTCCTGGTCCGGTGCCTGGCACACAGTAGGGACTTGTCACTATTGGACCAAAGTACAGTGAGTTAAGCCACAGCCTGAGAAGTGGTGTTTGGAGTCAAGGAGGAGGAGGGGGAGAGTGAATACAAGTTGAAGAGAACCGAGAAAAGCTGGGAAGTTTGTGGAGAGAAAACAGTTCTCTAAATACAGAGTTTTCACCCCACCCAGCTGGGTAGCAGTGTTAGAAGGAAGAAGGATTGGCTAGCAGAGCCCATCTGGCTGATTCCGCTTCAGCCCTAGGAGAGAAGGAGCCGGGCCTTCGACTGGGGACAGGACGGGAGAGGCACCGGGGGTGCTGAGCGAAGCGGCAGCGTGTTAAGCGCTTTCACCATCTGTTTCCTGAGTGGGGAGAAGGAACCTCTTAGTGCATGCACCCTGCCCCCTTCGCCGCCACCACCATCTAATTGCAGAATTGAACGTGGCATTCTGCTAGCAGGGGCACATTCGGTAAACACACAAGAGCTGCCTTTGCTGTGAGACCCAGAGCCTGGATCTCAGGAGCATCTCATTCGGTTTTCATTCATTTGACAAATATGAGTCAGGGGTTAGGAAACATGCCAAGGACACGAAACAGACCCAGTCTGGGTTACACACACCCAAAACAAAAACACAAACCAAACAAATGTCCTGAGGGACAGCAGGTGGGAAGGCCCGATTTAGAAGGCAGCCAAGGCACTCTCTGAGGCCATGATCGCTGGAGCTAAAAGGAGATGTTTTTCTAGGGTACTGGACTGGAACACCCACTCGCTTCTGGGCCGTGGTGGTCGTGGCTCAGTTAATTTTATTTTCGATTGGTGGGAACCTTCAGCCACACCTAGGGCTGAGGCTCACTCTGGGACACAACCTACTGCTGCAAAGACAGAAGCAGCTAGTCCGGTAGGGGGTCCCCAGCGCCTCAGCTCCTGAGCCCCTGAGGTAGCTGTGGTAGTCGAACCAGCCTCTCTGGGCCTAGTCCCAGGTGACTTCCATGGTTGTTGACATCCTCACATGTGGACAACCACCGACGTGCTGACTGTGTGACAGTTGAGGGCTTGTGGTTACCGAGAGACAAGAGTCTCTCTCTCCTCTCAATACTTTCAGCCACCTAGAAATACCCCTGCCTGTAAGCCACAGGCAAATGCAATTTCAGGCAGAAGGCACACGGGGAGGAGGCAGAAACACATTCAAACACCTGCCCCCTCCTCTCCAGCCCCCTCTCCTCACAGAAGCTGGGCCGTCCTGGGGCAGGGCAGTTAGCCCTAGACTTGGGCATCAGGGACAAACAGAACTTGAAATCCAAAAACCCGAGTCCCAGTTCTTGCTCCATGGCTGTGTTAACTATGCACAAATTGCTTAATCTCCCTGAGCTTTATCTGTAGACTAGAGTTCCTAATCCCTGTCCTCGATTCAAAACCTCAGGCTCCACGCGGGGTGGAGCTCTCTGCCGAGCTCCTGACCGAGCACCTGGCTGCCGTCTGCTCTTCTCGAGGGTGCCCTCCCACGGCACCCTAAACCCTGTCCAAAGCTGGACACCGTTTCTGCCTCTAACCTGTGTCCTTTCTGTGACCCACACTCTCCCCTGACAGCCCCCTCTCTCACCGGCCACCTCCAGTCGCTCTCCAGGAGCTCACGATTCCAACTGCTAGACGTCTCTGGCAGCCACAGCCTCATCGCCCATCCCGCCGCTGAGCCTAACGCAGCCTCTCTCATCTCTCACCTGCAGTGTCGCAGGTTTCCAAGCTGGACCCCCTCACCCTGATCTGCAACCCAGGCAATCTTGCCACGGCTGCTTACACCCCTTCAATTTCTGCACAGCAGCTTCAGGGCAAAGCCCAAACTCCTTAACGTGACTCAAGGTCCTTGATCTGCTCCTGCCCACCCGCCTCTGCCCACCACCTCGGAGCGTGCTTCTCGGGCCAAGAAGCCCAAGAACACGTCACCTGTTTTCTCTGTCTTGAACATTTCCCCCATTTCTCTGCTTCTCATTTCCCCCGAAGCCTTACTTCCTCCTGGAAGCATCTCCTGGTCTGCTTAGGTTCCGCGAGTGACCCTCCTTCTGGGTTCCCCAGGACCCAGTGCTTCCCACATCAGAGCTCACTGTGCTGTCCTGAATTGCCTATGGCTCCCATTTAGACTTGTGCCTGGTACATAGTAGGTGCTCAGCACATGCTGGTTCGATGAGTGAACCTGGGAATGAAGGATTGTGCTGAAAGGCAAGTGCAGAGAGCACTACCCAGGGAGGCGCAGATTGGGCTCCAGTCCCAGCAGTGCTGGCTTTGCCACCCGCTCCTGGAGCCCTGGGGCCAGCCACCGTGCCTGGGGGCCTGCCGAGTTCTTCTTTCCCTGGGTCTGCTAACCCCTCATCTGGGGGGTCTGGATGTCTGTGGCCCTCTATACACACGCAGACACACAGGACATAGAGGGGCACTCAGGGTCAAGACCCAAGAGCTCCAGTTCCTCAGGTCCACCACAGCCCCAGAACCAAGAACCAGCAAAGTGGAGCAACGGTTTGCGGGTGCTATGTGAGACAAGACACAGGTGACAGCAATAACAACCCTCAGAAGTCCACTTCCTGCCAGCTGCAGTGGCAGGAACAGGCAGTCACCTGCTTTCTTGATCTCTCAGCCTGGGACGGGGTAGTCCCCATGCTCTCTGCCCCTCCCCCAACTTGGGGCTGGGAAGGGGGTAGTGAGTGAAGTGGCTTCAGTGAGGAAAGCCAGGACCTCAGTCCCTCTCTCTACTGAGGTGTGGGGAGCAGCTGACACCACAGGAGCAGAAAAACAAGCACAAACCTGTAAGACATTGTGCCAGTGGGTCTGGATCTCACCTCTTGCACGACACCCCACTCCCCTGACTGTACTTGTGGGGAGGTGAGTTAGCTGTGGGGCGTGGGAGCCAAGTGGGGACCGAGACTGGCCACACGGCCCGTCAGGCTCAAATGCAATGCATCAGAGCCACCAAACAAAGCCCCATCTCCCCCGAGGAGTGAACAACTCCGCACAGTTTATTTCTGCACACACCCCTCTCATCCCCCTGCATGTGGGCAGCTCCCACTCGCCTAGACTGGCAACTCTGTGGCGGGAACAAAGCAGGCTTGGGAGGCTGCTGCAAAGGACAGGATGGCGGTTTTATATGTGGCAAAATACTTCTCCTAGGGGAGTACAGAGGAACAGATGGATGGGGGCACGGGGTACCAGACAGGAGTGGTCTCTTCTAACCAGTAAGTGGAAGCTGCACCCCGCCCCCCAGTGGGGGTGGGGCAACATTGGCACAGGAGGTGGCGAGACAGGCATGAGGTGCCCATCCCTGAGGTGGGCAGCCGGGCAGGGCCCAGTCCTCGTTGGCACAATCGGCTCTCTCAGGCCCAGCTGGGATGCTGGGGAGGGGCAGGGCTGCTGGGCCGTGGGGATGCCAGGCAGAGGGACACTCCAGGTCAGAGGGGGTGTGCGAAGGCCTCTCCTGGGGGCAGTGGAGTGGACAGGGGTCAAGAAGAGGATCACGAGAGGCAAATACAGAGCAGTAGCAGCAGCAGCAGCAGCAGCAGCCAAGCCCCCCAGGGGAGATCCATGGTCCCAAGGCAACCCCTGGGGTGGTGATCGTTTCTCGAGCACCAACCCAAAGGGCCTCTCTCCTGGGTGTTCAGGGTGAGAGTGAATTAGCAGTTTTTGGTTTCAAAATGAGGTGGACCAAAGTGTTCCAAGGGCTCCACACCAGGGGGACAGGGGTGGGAGGCTCGGACTCGGAGAGCCCCCCCCTTCTGACGGCAGCAGACAAGGGATGTGATGGGCAAAGCTCATTCCTGGGGCAGGTGAAGGCTGAGGCGTGGGGGTGGGGGTGGGGGTGGGGGTAGCAGCATCTTGGGTCACCCGCTCCTCAGGGTTAGGTCCTGGGCGGGGCAGATGGCACTGCATCTGATGCCCCTCAGTTTCTACCCAGGTCCCTCCCCGAATGAGATCCGTCCTGTAGCTTTCTCCTGCCAGAGAATGTTGCCAGAAAGCTGGGGGGAGCGGGTATGAGGAGGGATCCTGGATCTGGAATTCGGGAAGGGAAACCTCATGGGAAAGTCTGTGGTCTCCTTCTCCTGGAAGAACCTCCTACCTTTACCAAATACTCCAAGTTGGAAAAAGAAAGGGCCACCCCATTTAGAGCCCCAGGTAGAAAGAGTTAAGGAAGTGCACCTTTTCTCTGGGAGAGTGAGGGGAGAGAGACCCCTGAGGTGGGGACAAGGGGACACTGCAGACAGGTGGGCATCCCCCCATCCATTCACCGCAGGTAGATAAAAACCTACAGCTGGGGCTTAAGGGACTCCTAGGAGCTGGGCATCTACCAACTCAGAAACCCCAAACGTTGAGCAAAGGCATCTGAGAGGAGACAGCGCCCCCTGGAGGCCAGATACACCCCCGCTGGTGAGCCTGCTGTCCCTCCCCTCGGCTGGGCTCGGAGCCCTTCCTCCAGCAGGGCGGCCCCTGCCTCTCAGCGGATGTAAACACCCCGCCCCCAGCCCTCCAGCTCGTTCTTGTTGCGTCCCAGCACCGGGCCCCCGCCCTCTGCGCAGTAGCGGGCCTTATTCCGGCCACGATTCCGGTTGTCAGTCAGCTCCTCTTCATAGTCTTCCTCATCCTCCCAGGATCCCTGACGAGCTGGTGGGGTGCCGCCCCCAGCAGGGTCTCCAAGCCCTGGCCCCTCCG